GTAATTAGATAAAGAGAGCGCGAGAGAGAGGGAGCGGAAGAGAGTGCTGCTGTCTGGCTGCTAACTGTGGTGATCTTGTGTGGCATCTGGAGGCTGACTCACTCGCAACGCAATACATGTGTATGGAAATACCTATTACAATGTATGCAAATTAGAGTTGAGCACGTGTCGCGTTGCAGCACGAAATTTAAAAGTAAATGAGAAGCTCAAAGATTGTTCAAAGGAAATATTTATCAGAAAACTACAAATGATATTGTTATATGTAAAAACAATTATTAAGCATCTTTTATACCTCTTTTATTATCTTGCAAAAAACTGGAGAGCGAAACATGTTTATTCATTTCTCTCATAAATTACATTTTTATTACTTACCGTCCATTTTGAAACTAGTTCGTGTCGTGTTGCTTTAGTTGGACACGCGCTCATCTCTAATGCATAATAATCAAGCGAGGACGACGTCATCAGCTTTCTGTTGCTTGTGACTGGTTCTGTTAATGATTCTTTCTCACTCACTCTCCATCGTCTCCTTGTCGCACTATCTTCCAAACTGGTTTGTTTCACTTATGCCAAAAAAAAACAACAAAAATTGAATATGCAAGTCGATCAGTTCGCCGGTCTCTTTGCGAAGATCGCGTGTGCGGCGTCAGCAGTTAGCTAATTAGCTGACTGAGCTTCATTCCCATTTGAATAGCATTAGCATCAAAATGTCACCGTTAGATGCCAATTAGAATTTGCATGCGGCTGAGTAAGAGAGGCGTTACCTATGCACGCTCTGTCTCGCTATGCGCTCTCTCGCGCTCTCTCTCTGTATCTTTCGCTCTCTGTGTTTGCTGAGGAGCCAATCCCTGTGCGCGAGATTTTTTCTTCGTTTCCTTTTTGCTTTTTGCTCTACCTTTGCGACCTCCTTTTCCTTTTACGGCGGCACGAAAAAAAAAACGCAAAGGAGAGAGGGAGAGGTGGGTGCGAGGGAGATGGCGAGAGGCACACCTTGGCAAAGCCTTGAACACGTTCTTGGAAACAGGCGAACACAAAAAGGGTGCAGCAAAATACACAAAACGAGTTTCAGTCGCTGCCTGCCGGTCAGCATTCGACTGATTTAATTTTTTCTCGTCTTTCTTTCTTTTTTTGTTTTGTATCGCATACAGCATCCAGCAAAACTTTACTTTGCTTCTCCTTACTGCTGTCTCACTCGCCCTCTCCCTCTCTGTTTCTCTGTTTGTCCGTTGCTTACAATTCCAATACCGAACTTCAGCTTGAAACTGCGTCGACTGCGCTGTCGGCGCTGGCGTCTGCGTCTGCGCAACTTTTGATTTTGCCTGAAACCGGTTTGCCACCTCACTTCCACTACTCCACCCCTCCCACACTGTGGAGTCTGCGCATTGCTTTAGTATCTCTGTTTCTACAACTGACCCCCTGAACAAACCCACAACAAAACACACGCAACAACAACAACAACAGCAACAGCTCAGCGTAGCCAGCCGACAAATGTTTCACTTAATGATCTCGTCAAGTGTTTTGTGGGCGAGTTGGGGGATTTTTTGACATGCATGTTTGTAATTAAATTGCAACCAGATACTAATGATAATGGTAAATGATTCTTCACGAACTCTTCACATTTTGTCTGTATTCCATGAGGAATTGTCTCTCGACTGTCTTAGTTTATATTCTTTATTTTCTATTAAAGTTAAGTGATGAACAATTCTTTATAACTAGCAGTTGCTCAAAAATAGAATGTTAAATGTCAAAATGCCAATTAAAAATGCTCCAAAATATATTTGTCGCTCGCCAACCAGTTAAAATAAACGTGTTAAGATATAAATAAATATATAAATGCCACATTAAAAATCAACAAATGCAGCATCTTCATTATTTAATTTATTTAATACAAATGCAAATTTAAAGGCTGCATAAGAAGACACCAGAAACAGCATTTAACGATTTGCGCAAACAAACCAGTTAACAGCAGCAAGTTATTCCTGAATTTGATCGATCCACCAAATAAATTTCGTTGTTTCCAAACCGAATTCGATTTCGATCACTTTGCTGCCTGCGCAAGCAGCTTCCCATCTGCATGTGTGTGTGTGTGTGAGTGTGTGTGTGCATTGAAAAGTTTTCGAGTTGCTTTTGGTTCGTACTCCAGTTTTATTCGTGCCTCAATGTGGCATGTGCCCAACAACCAACTACAAAAAGTGGGATAACTTAAAATTGTCTCAGCTCGCAACTCGTTGTCTGTTTTTTTCTGCTTTTCTTCTTCTTCTCATTTTGTGTCTGCATAATGAATGAGAGCAGAGGTGACTAGTCGTATGTGTGTGTGTGTGTGCAGTTGGCGCTGCATGCGAGCTTTGCTATTAGAAAAGAGCAAGAACAACAACAACAACAACCTTTCACTTGCCCTCGAGCAGCAGCCGTTCGCCGAGCAGCTTCCATGTGGTCGGTCGGCTGCACCAACTACGACTGACGGTAGCAGCAGCAGCAACAACAACAGCAAACAAAGCAAAACTCCAATTTTCAAATGTTATTATAAATAGCGGACTCACACGTACACACACACACACATAGAACATAAGAAAACAACACAATAACAGCAGCAACAACAACAACACTAGCGTCTGCTTAATAGACATTGCGGGGGCGTTGAGATCACTCTTCCCACAATCTCTTTCTCTCTCTCGCTCACTGTCTCATACGCGCTCGTTCGTTCTCTTTAGTTTCTTTCTTGCTTTCTTTCACACTGTTGTTGTTGCTGTTATTGGTGCTCTTTGTGCCGTGGTTTTTCTTGTTTAGACTTCTTTAACAGTTCTTCTTCTTCTTATTATTCTTCTGTTGTTGCTGTTGTTTTTGTTGCCTTTTCTAATCAATTTACATTCACTTTTTAACAGATAAATGCACATGTTTATATCATTTAATGGCTTTTTCTCAGTGGGGGTGTCTGTGTCTGTGTGTGTGTGCGTATGTATTTGTCTGTGTTTTTGTGTTTGTTTGTGTGTTACGAGATTTATGGCATAGAAATGTCAAAATTGTTTTGTATGTCCGAAAATAACGGTACTTACAGCTTTCAGCTTTTCGTTGCTATTTTTAAACGGCCATTGAAAATGTCAAACTGAAAGATTTGCTTCGCTTTAAATATAGCCATATCTTTTACTAAATTTTAATGTGCACTTTTCTCAAAAGTTGAACCATTTCTGAAGGTGACTTTCAGCATCTTGAAAATGTCAGCCGAACGCCGAAGAAAAGCTAAATAAAGGCAAAAACGATGCTAAGGGTAAATAATAATAATAATAATAATGCAAAATATGAAAGTAAATGAATAAACTTCATTTAAATTACAATAAAATATTCCAATTAATATTTAATATTTTGCTTATCAAAATTGTAAAACTCAATTTGCTCCAATTTGAGCAATATCTGTGATTATTTCAAATAAACTGTAAGTTGCCGCCATGCTAATTAACTACTTGCAGAGCCTTTGAGTAATTTCGTCAACAGTGGCTCAAAATAGACTCAATTGAACTCTTTTGTTGCTGCGCTTTGGCTACTTAACCCTTGGCTAGATTTCAAGTCAGCTGCTTCTAACCCCACACACGCACACATACACACACACACACACAGCGCATAACATAAACTGTCTGCTACTGCTAACGCAAAATGACTCCAAATTCAGTTTGCGCTCAATGTATGCGCTCAACACTTTTGCGCTCTTAAACTTAACAGTTGCGCTCTTGCGCTCGCTCTCCCAAACATTAAACTCCAGCCAAAATAAACCAATAAGAGCAACAGCCGCTGCAGCAGCAGCAGTCCATGCAGAGAGCGTGAGCGCACAATATAGAGTGCGAGAGCGAGAGAGAGCGCCGCTGTTCGCTCGCTGCTGCTGTTGGCTGCTTTTGACTGCCGATTGGAATTTTTTTTGGTGCATAACAGCGCTCTAACAGCCATACGAACAGAAGCAAAAACAACACCGAGCGAGGCGGACGTGTGTGCGCATTTGTTGATACATTTTTAGAATTTCTTATGTCTGAGAGCCCAAAAGCAAGCCCCAAGCAGCAGCAGCAACAACAACAAACGCTCTGGCAACTAATTCAAAGAAGAAATTCGTAAAAATTAATACGTCAAAAATCGTAATAAATCGTGCAGAGTTGCCTTGTTCGTCAAAAAGGTGTTGAGTAAAAGTGCAAAAAAAAGAAAAGAAAAACAGGTAAACACAAGCATTAAATTATGCAACATTATTAACAATAATTTCTATGAAAGTCGCGCGCGTTTCAACAATAACAAACATCTGTCAAAAACAACCAAAAAAAAAGCCGTGTTTTTTGATAACAACAACTGTAACAACAGCAACAGCAACAGAAAAGCTAACAGCGACTTTAATGTTGTTGCCGCCTCAATATTTTTGACGTCTGCCGCTGCTCACGTGTCTGTGCGTGTTTGCGTGCGTGTTTGTGCGTGGCTGTGTGCGTGTGTCTTCTCCGTCTCACTTCATTTTGTCACCAGTGTCAGTAGCAGAAGTGTTCCATAAAAAATATTAAATAAATATATATATATCAAGTGTTGCAAGTTTTATGTTTTTGCCGGCATTTTAATGACGTCACGACAAGCAGCAGCAGCAACAGCGCAGTAAAAGCAACAACAACACCAACAACAACTGCAAAGTCAGCAGAAACCACAAGCAAGAAACAACAAAATAAGAAAAAAGCCAAAATAACGCGTCTTTTTCGTCGTCTTCGTATCCGTTTCTTCTGCTGTCCGCACGCTATCTCGTTCCCGCTCCCGCTATCGCTCTCCCGCTCTCTCTCTTTCGCTCTCGCTCAGCTGTGCGCTGTGTGCAAACAAAAAAAAAACACCGCGAAAGAAGTTGGGAAAAATATTAAACAGCGTCAGTTTCTGTGCGTGAGTGTGTTAGTGTGTGATACGTGAGTGTGTGTGTGTGTGCTGCAAATATAGCAAATAAACAAACGTCAACAACAACAACAAAGGCGCGTCTTCAACACCAGCTGCTGCAGCAACAACAACAACGAGAACAACCACAACAAAAGGTGTTTATACCTAATTTTAAGTCGTATTTAAATATATATATTATGCATATATTGCAGTTATATTTTTTTTTTTTGTATGTGAGATTTTCAGCGAGTTGATCACAAGAAAATTTATTAAAAATGGTTGCTTGTAATTTTGTGCGAAATGACTTGAAATGTTGTTAAAATGAACCAAAACTTTATATGCCCAAACTGTCAACTGGCTAAAAAGACAGAAAAGACATGTGTCAAATTTGTTGGCCATCATTTTGTATAATTATTGAATTATTAAAAGCCATTCGCTTCATTTCGGCAAAGGAAGGCTAATGAACTGAGTGCCAGCCATTAAAAAGTAGTTTATCAGCAAAAAATATGTTTGTAGTTATGTTTTTAATGCCTCTTCGATAAAGTCAACCACAAATGGGGGGGAACAACAAATGAAAAGAATGAGAAAAAACTTAAGTAAATACACAACTATGAAGTCATCTCTCACAAGATGATGAACTTTATTCATTAATTAATCATTTGCGAGAAGTTCTATTTAAGTCCATCACTTTGAAACTTGCGGAGCGCGCTCCACAAACTGAGCTGAATTTTAAGTTTTGCCACACACACACCCACTCTTACGCACACACACACACACACACGCAAAACGCACACAAATCATGCTTAAACTTAATGCAAATTTAGCTATTTTTATGCCAAAGTAATGCTTACAAATTCATTTTCCCTCTCTTTTTTTTTGTTCGTACTTTGCTTTACTTTGGCAAGATTTAAGCAAAAGATATTTCGCATTTATTTGTTGCTGCTGCCGTTGCTGTTGTTGTGGTTATTTTGTTGTTATGAAAAGTCACGTTTTTTTTATGCCGCTGTCGTCGAGAAGTTCGCTGAGGTTCTCTCAGATTCCCTCTGGCGGCATTTCAAGTGGCCTCCGGCGCAACTTTAAGTCGTAAACAACGAAGTTATGTGTTTTTATTTCGAGTTGTACTTTTCACTCCTACTACAACAGTTGTTTTATTTTATATTTCTTTTTTTTTCGGGTTTGTTTCCTTATTTGAGTATTGTTGTTGTTGTATTTTTTTTTCTTTTTATTATAATTTGTCGTAATTTATTTTGTTTACATTTTGGAATTGTATTAACGGCTCGCAAAGAAAGCAAAAGTTTTGTGTATATATTTGACACGTCTTTGCTTTCATTGCAAGAGCAGCTGTCAAAATTTAATAAATGAAGCAACGAAATCGCTTGGAAAATGCCACATCAATTGCCCTGTCCATGCTGAATGTCGATATACGTCTTTCTGACAAGTCATTCGCTTAAAAAAAAAAAAAACGAGAAGCAAAACCAAAACACAAAATAAACCGCAACTAGAAGAAGAAAAAAAAAAAACAACTTACTCAAATGTGAGAGGTGAGACCGAGAGACTTTTGTTGCTACAAAACCAAACCAAAACCAAAACGAAAAAAAAAAAACACAACTCTAAAAGTCTGAGGACTTGGCATGACTAATCGATTCGATTTTTTGCCCAAAAAGTCATGCCATAACACAAAGTATATATGTATATATGTATGTGTGTTGTGTGTGTCTTCTGTATGGTTTATTGCCCAGCATTCGCATTTGTGGCCTTTTTGCCGCTCGTCGCCATTTGCTGCCCCAGCCAACAACCAACAACCAACAAGCAACAACAATAAATAAATATCGATAGCTCTACTATGAAGCTCTTCGCACAAATTTTACTTCCATCGCTTTGTCTTCAAACTTGAAAGTCACTGGACAAATTTTGTGTGTGTGAGCTTTTCAAGTGCCAAACGACGACATTTGAAATTGCAATTTGAATTTGAATGATGCGCCAAACGAAGCAGCTTAAAAAAAAAAAACGCAGAAAGAAAGAAGCAAAATCGAAGATGTTTCCCAGTTTGTTGCGGAATTCAATTATTCCAGCTGAAAGATAAAATGTATTTAAGGATTTTTAGCGCTTATATTTAAAGCATTAAGTTGCACGAAGAAAGAATTATAATTACTTCAAATTGTTTAACTTGTAACAATTTGGGTATAAATATTTGCTTAGTTATAGATCAACTTCAAGCTGAAAAATCTGAAAAATTCAACAGATAATATAATGAATTCTATGAGCTATATTTATATAAAGAGAGAGACCAGCGTATAATTGAATAACCATTTGAAATATGGTATTTCACTAGTGATTGTGATAGGATTGCACATAAAAACTTGGCTGTAATCCTCGCAGTTATCGATTAACTCCAAGCCCAATTTAACTCCGCTTTTTTGTTGCCAGTTTTTCTTTTTTTAATCAACAGCTGAAATATTTGCCAATCGAATTGCAGTTTTAATTGCGAGTGTAAAAGCAAGTAGAGCGGCACTTGTGATATAATCAAAGTTTGCTTTGTTTTTTTTTTATACCTTATACATTGCAGAAATATAGTTTACAGTTTATGCTTTAACAGAACTACTATTATTAAAATGTAGTAATATTTAAGAAATACTTTATTGGTTTATCCAACTATTCTGCACGCGTTTCAAAAGTGAGCTAAGCTCGTCACTTCTGTTTTCTGTTTTTCTTTTTCTTGCCGAACATAAACATGTTGGTTTCTATATAAAAAAAAGAAAGACAGAATGAAAACAGTTTTGTGGCTGCTGCTGCTGCTGCATCTTCTTCTTCTTGGATTTTTATTTTTATATCTCTTTCTTTTTCAATTTTTGTGTTGCTTTTGCGTTTTTGATATTTTGAAACATGTGCTCGACGTTTTTCTATAAATACCACAAAATGTTCGTCTTTCAACGACGGCAAAACGAGTTGAAAGCATGAAAACAAGCTAATATATAACTTGATAAAGCTCAAGACCTGATGCTATATATTAAACTATAAATATCAAAAACACAAAAATATACAAATGGAAATATTAAAAACTAAACAAATCGAATAAATTTGTTGAACTTTTCGTGTTGCTTCGCTTACAACGAAATTAAAAAAGAAAAAATATTGATTCAGCGAAAATACAAAAGATAATAAAAATATATACAGATATATATATATTCAGATGTATATATGTTTATATATGTAAAATAATAAATATAAGAATATAAATGGAAAATATAAATTTCAACGTGGTCTCCTCGCCGTTTTGTTGCCTTTTTGCCTTTGGGCTTAGAGCGCCGACAGCTGTTGTACATTTTTGGATGTATCTGCAGCTGTGCAGCGCATCGCACAGTCCCAAAGCAGCACACCACCCTCCCCCTCTTTATAACCCCCCACACTGAACATCACTTCTGCTTCCCCTTCCCCTTCCCATCCTTGATCCAAGCATTTCCCCATTTTGACTGCATTTTGGAAACGTCGGCACCAAAAATAAGTTTTTCGTGCATGAAATTTTTGGCAGCCAAAATGCAGCAGCAACGGCAGCTCCCAATAACAACAACAACTGCAACAAGAAGAAGAAGAAGAGCAAGCGACAGCTGCCTCATTTACATAAGCAGCGCTGCCTTAACCCTTGGCTAGGCCAGTGGGCACAATTTCAACCGCTCCCCTCCCATTCCCATCACTCCTCACTTTATGCTAAATTGAGATCAATTGAAAGCGAAATTGATTGTTTAACCTTTCTTCTGCGGGGCAGGGGGCAGGGGACGAGTGGGCAATGAGGAGGTCAAGCATTGTGGGCGTGTCAGTTGCCGCTCGGGCTACAGGCTGCTGTTTAAACAAATTGGTTCAGAGTTTAATTAAATTTGATTATTCGAACGCATTTGAGTAAATTTTTAATTATACTTTGACTTTCTAGCACTTGCTGCTTAATCTATCCCCTCCCCTCTCCGCTCTCTCTCTCTCACTCTGTCTCTCTATCTCTCTACCTTTCTCGGTTGTCTATTTTTTAGACAGCGCAAATTAATTAAGCCAAACATTTATTTCGAAAATTTGTTCATGCCACAAGAAAAATTTCAAATATTTAGTTTGCTTATTGTGTGCTCTTTTTCACTATGAGTATTTTAAGATAAGCAAAAATTTTATGAATATGCCAAAAATGAATTTTGCATATGACAGAGAGAGGGAGAGAGAGAGAGAGAGAGAGCGAGAGAGTGAGAGCGAGAGAAAGAGAGAGAGAGAGAGAGAGAGAAAAGTTGCTTTGCCACTGGTATTTATGAAATTTGTTTCTGATTTCTTCTTCGCTCTGCGCTCTTTCCAAAAATACAAATTTCAGACTCTGACGTAATTAGCAAACGGTGAACAAATTTGGTTTGATGTGTGTGTGTGTGTGTGTGTGTGTGTGCATTTCTATTAATTTAAATATATAGTATTACTATAAAAGTTAAATGAACGAAATAGAAAAGATCTGAAAAATTGCTAGCGAATGATTTATGAAAAATGAAAGAACGATTTCAAAGAGCCGCCAAAGATTAGATTAGCTGCGCTTCCATGTTCAATTATTATTGACAGCTATCAGCCTAAATTTTAAATGCTAAATTAATTATGACTTTTTTAGTCAGCCGCTGATAAGCACACATTTTGTCATCTTTCTTATTAAAAGTTGAAGTTTGCCAGAGTATCGGAAAGTTTGGCCATATCGAATCGACTTGCATTTGTCACGACTGAAGCGTGTATAACTACATATATATATATATATATATATATATATATATATATATATATATATATATATATATATATATATATCATATATATATATATATATGCTATATATATATATATCAAAAACGTTGGGGATTTCCAACGAACTGCCGGGCCTGATTCATCGAACAAAGTAAACCTTAAACATTATATTTCCACGAGTTGAACGCTTCTTTTGAATATTGTTTACGTTTTTGGCACGTTTTATGGACTCCTCTTCAAAACCATATATGGCATATAGAGTCGCGTTTGTAAGTGGACCATATTTGAGTATCTGTCTGAAAGCATTTGTTACAGCCGCGTGACAAATTTCAAAATCAAATTTAATGCAATCAAAACTCCATGCAAAAAAAAATATGTATATATATATTTATATATACGAATA